GGCTGTTACCAAATTAATGCGTTCTAGGTTGTATGCGGAGTCCCCAAGGAACTGACTTATAAGTTGGGAACTAACAACCGTACGAGAGGCTCCAGTGTCTATGGTCAGTTTACACGGCATTCCGTTGACCTCGCCCTTGATGATTAGACTGTTCCCATCATGGGTTTGTGAGATCGAGATCCTTGGGGCTCTTTTAACATCAGCCAGCACCCGCCCCGCAGTTCTGGCTTTTACTCGTTTCCCTGCTGCTGCTGGGCGGTGCTGTTGGCCGCAATACCTTCCTGAGATCGTTCACCGTCCCTTTCTAGGGTTCGCTTAGGGCAGCTGGATCGAAGATGGCCCTTTTCCCCACAGCCATAGCACCTTGGGCTGTATCCTTTGTTGCGGTCGCGAACTGTAGCTGCTGCAACCTCCCTGACGCGATGGGAACGATGATCCTGCCGCACGGCTTCCACTTCCAGTGCATGGGCCAAGGCGTCCTTAAGCGTCTCATGGTGCCCGAGCCTCACAGCAGCTCTGACTTCCAGGTCGCGGATGCCGTCGATGAATGTCTGCACCAGGTTCCCTTCAATGAGCGCAGGTACAGACCGGTATGCTTTTCGCACCAGCTTCTCCACTTCTAGAGCCCACTGCTGCAGGTTTTCGTTGATGCGCTGCACACGATCTTTAAGCTGCGCACGAAAGACGTGTTCCAGGTGAGCGTCACCATATCTCGCCTCCAATGCCTCAAGGAGTTGCTCATAAGTCACTTCCTCACCGAGAGCTTCCAGGACTGTTAAGGCCTGGTCGCGCAGGCCTAGTGTGAGAGCAGTCATGGCCTGACTTTTATTCCAGCCGTTCGCCTTCATAACAGCCTCGAACTGGATTTTGTAGGCTGACCAGGAAGAGGTACCGTCGAACGGTGGCACCTTGAACCCACGTAGCGAAGGTGTTGTAGCTACTACGGGAGCTGTAGCTCCATCTCCAAGTTTGAGTTCGTCCAGTGATTTCTTCTGTCAGCCATTACGTTGTCAACCAGATTGTTTACTTGGTCGATTCGGGTTTCAGCTTTCTCGATTCGGTTTTCAGCTTTCGCAATTTGGGTTTCAGCTTCCGACAGGCGTTTGTCATGCTGAGCAACCCTATCCTTCACCTCCTTTATCTCCTTCCCGAAGGTAGCGTGAAGGTCCTTCATGAGGAGCATCTGTTCCTCCTGTCGGCGGGCCTGTTCCTCTTGTCCGCTCTGCAGCTGCTCTTTCAACTGACGGACCTGTTCCTCCTGTCCGCTCTGCAGCTGCTCTTTCAACTGACGGACCTGTTCCTCCTGTCGGCGAGCCTGCTCCTCCTGTCGGCGAGCCTGCTCCTCCTGTCGGCGAGCCTGCTCCTGCAGCATCACCATCAGGGCGCCTAAATCAGGTGTTGCAGATGCAGGAGCTTGTTGCCGGCGGCTGGCCCTCCGACGTCTGCGGCGTTGCACCACCAAATCTTCTCTGGTCCGTCTCATGCTGGCGTTGACTGCGGGTACGAACACCCTCCGTTTCCTCCTTAGTAAAATCGGCATGATTTTATCCCACTTCTGACACCAATTGTTACGAGCTTGAGGTTCGTGACAATAAAAATTGCCGATAAAATTACCTAAATTAACACTTTAATTTACTTTACACAAGTTAAAACTAAAAACACTAATAATTAAACACACTAATTCACTTAATTCCGCTCCGAAGCTTCGCTTGTGTCGCCGAGTTCAACTCTGCCCGATCGCATCTTGCAGCGCCTACTTATATAAATTAGCAAAATATCCAGAATGTTCAAGTAAACACGCGCAAGGTACCGAGAGTTCGAGTTTTAAACTTCAAGAAGTTTAGTTCTTTGGTTCGAGACTAGATGGCGCTAGTGCGCCGATTTTAGCGCGTAACAGTACTGTGGCCGTGAAGGAAAATGGGAGATCTCCCGCCGGGCAAAGTGTTGTGCCCGGGGAGCGGCCAACACTCCGAGTGATAGTTCGGAGAAGTTCTATATATACTGTCTATGATTCGAAATGTTAATAGCATGATTTAGGCTTCGGTGGATTTCGCTTGTGGCGCGACGACAGCGCCGCTACATCACCCCCCTGCTCAGACCGGAGGTCGATAGTGCAGCCTCGTTGCCGACGAATGTGCAAGTGCCAGGAGATTGCCTTGTAGTCTGCGGTGAGTCGAGAAGAAGGCAAGTAATCTGCGAGAGTGCCGTGAGGCAGAGGCGAGCAGTAAGGCTCAGAGCCGTGCCGAACACTGTATAGCGCAGAGAGTAGCTTGAAGGAACAGGAAGCATTATTATTCTAGTGCTGCGATGAACCTTGTGAAGCTAGCTGGCTTGCAGGATATGAAGACTGTAGACGATATCTGCTCGGGAGCGAATGGGTGGGGTATTCAATGACGATGATGAAGCTTGAAGTTTCCGAAAGTTGTTGGTTGCGTGTTCAGATCACGTCGGGGACACCACTGTGGCCGTGGAAGGAAAAGGGGAGATCTCCCGCCGGGCAAGGTGTTCTGCCCGGGGAGCGGCCAACACTCCGAGTGATAGTTCGGAGAAGTTCTATATATACTGTCTATGATTCGGAATGTTAATAGCGTGATTTAGGCTTCGGTGGATTTCGCTTGTGGCGCGACGACAGCGCCGCTACAGTACAGGTAGAGTAAGCGACAGTAGCCTACTGGCAGGGTGCGGACCTCACACGAACGTCGAACTCTAAAGATCGTGCTTTTAATTTCGACACTCGACTACTGTCGTGAAAACTTCAAGCTAGCTAGGAGTGCTTAAAGGGAACATTAGTAGTGTAAGTAACATAAAAAAGTGTAATAGTACAGATAATATAAGTGATTTTATTTTAAATCAGCAAATTATAACTTAAGAAAATTTATGTAAATTATTAGGTCTAGTTTTAAAGCGAGATCAATTTGCTCATTTCACCTTCCCAAAAACTACATCAGCACCTACGTGAATATTAAATAATAAAAGAAATAAAGCAATGGCAGCGCTTCTAGCGGCTCGCGCTGTTCCAGATCTCTAATCGCGTAAATTCGTCGCAACAATACGCGTGGGCCGCCGCCAATTACCTCGTTGTCCTCAGCCCTCACTTGCTGCGGCGGCTTGCGGAGCGCCTGCAGCTCGATCCCAGGGGACTCTCGAGCGCTCTCAATTCTAACTTGAGATTTTTAAATAACGCTCTGCTTGTTGTTGGAGACTGCGTTCTTTTTAAATGTATATTATAATACTATATTATATTGTTTAAATATTTTTACGTACTTTATAAGTTAGTTTACATAATATGATTTTGAATTAATTTGGTTTAAACACTGTCTAAGAGTTAATAAGGTAAAAATGACACCACGCAGATGTCGCGCGTGCCGCACTTTGCACTTTTGAGAGACACAGCTCGCGCTAGCGCGTCGCGTTTAAAACTTCTGCTCTATACTGTGTATATATGTACACATGGAAATAGATGTTTTAGAAGAAAATAACAGCAGGTTAATTTAGTGCGCTCAAACAGAGGCGCTGGCGGTGTAACTTGATTTTAATATACATAAAATACGGAGATCTACCGGTATTGCCAAAAGGGCAGTTAGGTGTGTTTATGAAAAATTTTATATTTAATAGAGTATTATTTACATATTAAAGATGATACCAGAGTTCAGCATAAGTTACCTGATATGGACAGGAAACCAACGTTCGAATTAGACGCGCCAAGCTCCAGCGATTAGAATCAAATGAAGGATGCTGTGATTGCTTCAACTTCAATTGTCCTTACCGCTGTGTTGTCACTTGTCATCGTGTAAGCAAAACTGTTCTTCTTCGTTTCCCTGGCTCTTCTGCTGGCTGCGATCTCTTACTCTTACGTTATCACATATGAAAAAAGACCATTGCGTCTGTTTCATGAAAGGAAAAAAGCACAAGAGTAAAAAATGTGTCTGAACTAAGTACGGTTTTTCTCTTAACGTACGCGAAAGCGCATATACATAGACCAGCTTAGTTTACTGAGTGGAGTCTTCAATTTTATCTGAAGTTTGTCGTCAAATCGATTAACATAATGATACTATGTCATTAATTACTTATTTCTATAATTTGTACGCCACAAGAAATACATCGTACAACAAGAGACGCCCCGTATGGCATAGCAATTTATAAGAGGGTAGTTTTTTTTAAATACTAAATATTAACTACTACATATGAAATACCAACAAATATATTTCTTAATATTACTAGTCTAACATATTATTTCCTATAATTATTCCATATACATTTACTATTTATTCGCATCTATAAAGAGTTCATTTAAATTATAATAACTTTTATCACTTAAGAATCACTTTAATTTTTTTATAAAAGACTTAGTGTTGTCTATATTTTTGAGGTTATTCGGAACATTAATAAATATTTTTTTTTATTTCTTAAGCATTTTAGTACCTCTGGCTTATTCAAGTGATTGGCGAGTAATTATGCTAATGGTAGAGAATGCCAGCGCTCGTTTAGTCTCGACGTTCCTCTACCTTGATGATTGCCCTTGGACGAGCGTCCCCGTTTGTTATTAGTTATGACGCTTCGAGTGGACCGTGCTACGTTATTCCTCTTCCCCTTGCGACCTTTTAAAATTAATGTTGCCTGTCAAATAGTAAAGATGTAATAATTAATTAGCTAAGATCCGCTTAATAATATAAATTGATGTGTCTGACCTAGCTTGAAGAGCACCCCCTGCACTCGCTCAATCTATCTCCGTTACCTCTACTCCCAACATCACAAAACTAGTAAAGGAAAACTACCGTCAATAACACGACACGTGTTTCGCCTCTAAACGAGACATCCTTACGTGAAGTAGAATCTGCAGAAATATTTTATTTTATTATGTAGATGGAAGCGAATTAATTTTAACATCTTTCATATAATGGATTTCCGCAAAGTGACAATCGATTCTATTAATTATTTAAAAATAGCCTCTTTGAGTTGAGAAGAGAGGGAAATTTGACTACATTATGTCTGCACTTCAGGGAGAGACCATCTTCTCGTGGTACAGTGGGGACGAGGCGCCGCGTGTTGCGGACCGGTGGGGCGGGCGGCTGCGGCGGCTGGGCGACGGCCAGCTGGGGCTCGGCCGCGGCTCCATCAACGTGAGCGCTGTGCGCGAGACCGACGCCGGCCTCTACCGTTGCCGAGTCATCTTTCCTAACCGTTCGCCGCCTGCTCGTAATAACGGCACCTTCTACTATCTAGACGTGGACGGTGAGTAGCTCCTGCTTCTCACACGCTTAGTGTCCTATGTCTTTCTTTCATATTTTTTAGTGTTCTATTCTATCATATTTTCAGTTTTTTTTAATAGAATAAGCTGCCAAACGAGCACATAGACCATCTGATGGTAAGAGGATGTAGTGACCCATAGACATCTACGTCTTTCCTAGATTAAGAATTAAAATTCAGATGCTTTATCACCTCTAAGGGCTAAGGTAAAATTTTGTCATCTCTAAAAGCTAAAGGTAACGAGGCATTCCTCGTTTCCAGTAAAAATGGTCCCTGGTTCTCTACAATCACCATACGAAACACAGCAGCATTAAGTTGCTATTTTACGCTGGTATTCTAAAAGAGCGTAGTCTTTTCCTCGGTCCCGTTTCGTGCTACAACCATATTACAGTTGTAGCGTGGCTCTACCACGTTATTTCAATCTTTTCCCCGGTCTCGTTTCGTGCTACAACCATATTACAGTTGTAGCGTGGCTCTACCACGTTATTTCAATCTTTTCCCCGGTCTCGTTTCGTGCTACAACCATATTACAGTTGTAGCGTGGCTCTACCACGTTATTTCAATCTTTTCCCCGGTCTCGTTTCGTGCTACAACCATATTACAGTTGTAGCGTGGCTCTACCACGTTATTTCAATCTTTTCCCCGGTCTCGTTTCGTGCTACAACCATATTACAGTTGTAGCGTGGCTCTACCACGTTATTTCAATCTTTTCCCCGGTCTCGTTTCGTGCTACAACCATATTACAGTTGTAGCGTGGCTCTACCACGTTATTTCAATCTTTTCCCCGGTCTCGTTTCGTGCTACAACCATATTACAGTTGTAGCGTGGCTCTACCACGTTATTTCAATCTTTTCCCCGGTCTCGTTTCGTGCTACAACCATATTACAGTTGTAGCGTGGCTCTACCACGTTATTTCAATCTTTTCCCCGGTCTCGTTTCGTGCTACAACCATATTACAGTTGTAGCGTGGCTCTACCACGTTATTTCAATCTTTTCCCCGGTCTCGTTTCGTGCTACAACCATATTACAGTTGTAGCGTGGCTCTACCACGTTATTTCAATCTTTTCCCCGGTCTCGTTTCGTGCTACAACCATATTACAGTTGTAGCGTGGCTCTACCACGTTATTTCAATCTTTTCCCCGGTCTCGTTTCGTGCTACAACCATATTACAGTTGTAGCGTGGCTCTACCACGTTATTTCAATCTTTTCCCCGGTCTCGTTTCGTGCTACAACCATATTACAGTTGTAGCGTAGCTCTACCACGTTATTTCAATCTTTTCCCCGGTCTCGTTTCGTGCTACAACCATATTACAGTTGTAGCGTGGCTCTACCACGTTATTTCAATCTTTTCCCCGGTCTCGTTTCGTGCTACAACCATATTACAGTTGTAGCGTGGCTCTACCACGTTATTTCAATCTTTTCCCCGGTCTCGTTTCGTGCTACAACCATATTACAGTTGTAGCGTGGCTCTACCACGTTATTTCAATTTTTCCCCGGTCTCGTTTCGTGCTACAACCATATTACAGTTGTAGCGTGGCTCTACCACGTTATTTCAATCTTTTCCCCGGTCTCGTTTCGTGCTACAACCATATTACAGTTGTAGCGTGGCTCTACCACGTTATTTCAATCTTTTCCCCGGTCTCGTTTCGTGCTACAACCATATTACAGTTGTAGCGTGGCTCTACCACGTTATTTCAATCTTTTCCCCGGTCTCGTTTCGTGCTACAACCATATTACAGTTGTAGCGTGGCTCTACCACGTTATTTCAATCTTTTCCCCGGTCTCGTTTCGTGCTACAACCATATTACAGTTGTAGCGTGGCTCTACCACGTTATTTCAATCTTTTACCCGGTCTCGTTTCGTGCTACAACCATATTACAGTTGTAGCGTGGCTCTACCACGTTATTTCAATCTTTTCCCCGGTCTCGTTTCGTGCTACAACCATATTACAGTTGTAGCGTAGCTCTACCACGTTATTTCAATCTTTTCCCCGGTCTCGTTTCGTGCTACAACCATATTACAGTTGTAGCGTGGCTCTACCACGTTATTTCAATCTTTTCCCCGGTCTCGTTTCGTGCTACAACCATATTACAGTTGTAGCGTGGCTCTACCACGTTATTTCAATCTTTTCCCCGGTCTCGTTTCGTGCTACAACCATATTACAGTTGTAGCGTGGCTCTACTACGTTATTTCAATCTTTTCCCCGGTCTCGTTTCGTGCTACAACCATATTACAGTTGTAGCGTGGCTCTACCACGTTATTTCAATCTTTTCCCCGGTCTCGTTTCGTGCTACAACCATATTACAGTTGTAGCGTGGCTCTACCACGTTATTTCAATCTTTTCCCCGGTCTCGTTTCGTGCTACAACCATATTACAGTTGTAGCGTGGCTCTACTACGTTATTTCAATCTTTTCCCCGGTCTCGTTTCGTGCTACAACCATATTACAGTTGTAGCGTGGCTCTACCACGTTATTTCAATCTTTTCCCCGGTCTCGTTTCGTGCTACAACCATATTACAGTTGTAGCGTGGCTCTACCACGTTATTTCAATCTTTTCCCCGGTCTCGTTTCGTGCTACAACCATATTACAGTTGTAGCGTGGCTCTACCACGTTATTTCAATCTTTTCCCCGGTCTCGTTTCGTGCTACAACCATATTACAGTTGTAGCGTGGCTCTACCACGTTATTTCAATCTTTTCCCCGGTCTCGTTTCGTGCTACAACCATATTACAGTTGTAGCGTGGCTCTACCACGTTATTTCAATCTTTTCCCCGGTCTCGTTTCGTGCTACAACCATATTACAGTTGTAGCGTGGCTCTACCACGTTATTTCAATCTTTTCCCCGGTCTCGTTTCGTGCTACAACCATATTACAGTTGTAGCGTGGCTCTACCACGTTATTTCAATCTTTTCCCCGGTCTCGTTTCGTGCTACAACCATATTACAGTTGTAGCGTGGCTCTACCACGTTATTTCAATCTTTTCCCCGGTCTCGTTTCGTGCTACAACCATATTACAGTTGTAGCGTGGCTCTACCACGTTATTTCAATCTTTTCCCCGGTCTCGTTTCGTGCTACAACCATATTACAGTTGTAGCGTGGCTCTACCACGTTATTTCAATCTTTTCCCCGGTCTCGTTTCGTGCTACACAACCATATTACAGTTGTAGCGTGGCTCTACCACGTTATTTCAATCTTTTCCCCGGTCTCGTTTCGTGCTACAACCATATTACAGTTGTAGCGTGGCTCTACCACGTTATTTCAATCTTTTCCCCGGTCTCGTTTCGTGCTACAACCATATTACAGTTGTAGCGTGGCTCTACCACGTTATTTCAATCTTTTCCCCGGTCTCGTTTCGTGCTACAACCATATTACAGTTGTAGCGTGGCTCTACCACGTTATTTCAATCTTTTCCCCGGTCTCGTTTCGTGCTACAACCATATTACAGTTGTAGCGTGGCTCTACCACGTTATTTCAATCTTTTCCCCGGTCTCGTTTCGTGCTACAACCATATTACAGTTGTAGCGTGGCTTTACCACGTTATTTCAATCTTTTTTTTACAGGTGGGAATCTGATTGTGACACCTCCGATGAACGCTACTGTACTAGAAGGTGATCGCGCCGAGCTCGAATGCTTACCTAAGGACCCCGCATCTGTAGTGCAGTGGTACAAGGATAGCGCTGTCCTCAGTGAGCTGCCTGAGTTGGCGGAACGCTCGGAGCTTCCGCCGAACGGCAGTCTTGTGATACGTCACGCAGTTAGCACCGATCTCGGCGAGTACGAGTGTCGCTTGAGTGCACCCGATGGACAAACGCAAAGCGCCAGTGCATTTCTCGACGTACAGTGTGAGTTTGGTTTCATATTAAGTACTTCCTGATTTTTGCTTAACTTTAAGTAAATTGATGTTGTTATTTATTACAGATAAGGCAAAAGTGGTCTATTCACCCAAAGAGCGCTATCTCCCGTTCGGCAAACCTGCGAGTCTAGATTGTCATTTTAGCGCAAATCCACCTTTGACAAATCTACGATGGGAAAAAGACGGCTTTCTTTTCGATCCTTACAACGTGCCTGGCGTGTTCTATAGCATGAACGGCAGTCTATTATTCAACCGAGTGAGTGGTTCGATTTAAGATGAAGTTGTAAGTGGATAATACAATGTTTCTCCTTAAACGCGGGTAGGTGTAACAGAAAAAGCGAATTCATTGTTTTCAGAGCCGCGAGGAAAACAAATTTGTCCATTTCGAAGTCAAAATTAATGGAAACTACGCTAAAACAGGTTTCACTATTGAATATTATCTAGAACATTGGGTCAAGAGGTATGTAAGGATCGTGACACTTGGCGATCTGTTCTCTCTGGCTACCCCGTTAGGGATTGTGCGTGAAGATAAGTAAGTAAGTAAGTAACATTGGGTCAATATAAAATGAATGACAATATTGTCATTCACAACCTCCAATGTGTGAGTCAATTACACGCAGAAGGCATACAGCGAGTTGAGAATACAGTATGACAAAAGTTTCAGGACATGTTGGGGCTGCCTCGCTTTTATAGGAAAAGTCCGAGTCGTAATCTTCACTTGCTCGGCGACTCTTTTTGGGACAAGAACTAGAAATATGTTGCTTATTTTTTTTGTAGTTAGATGGCCCTGGTTTACACTCAATTGTTGGTGTTCGTTCGTTGGAAACACGTAATTGCGTTCGCAATTTCTAGTCCTAGTTCTAGTTTTAGTTCTACTACTAACGACAAATAAAAAAAAACAATATATGGTTTCGTTAGTTAAATATTTTATCAAAGTGGCCGCAATAAGTAACTTGGACTTGTCCCGAATGCCTAAGATATTATGATCGAATAAATGTGGACACTGAATGTTTTAAGGATAAGAGATAACTTCGTAATTCTTTGGATTTACGTTAAAGGTTATTTTAAATCGTGTGAGTACGCTTGTACAAAATTATTGTGAAATTATTAATCTGAATCATCAAAAATATTTCGTAGATTAGGTAGAGTGTAAAAAAAAAACAAATGAAAGTCGAAGAAATTTTATTACATAATAATGTATTAATAATAATAGCATTTACTAATATTTGTGTTCAGTACGCCGATAGTAACAACAGGAGAAATAAAAGTTTTTTTTGTTTCTGTAAGACACACTGGATGGAGACAGTTCTTGCAGTGATTAACTAATATTAACCGTAGTTTTGTGATTTTATTTGATAGTAATTAAATTTAAAATAAAATGTAAACTTTGGTTATTATTTAAATTTGGTTACTAACCCATATGGATGTGAATGGTGAATAAAAATGATATTGTAATAATACGAAGGGCTCACCAACAGGTAGACGAGTCGCACGAGGGCGTGTACTCGTGCACGCCGTACAACGCGCTGGGCTCAGAGGGCCCGTCAGCGGGCGTGCGCGTGCGCGTGTCGCGCGCGCCGGCGCTGGCGCTGCGGCCGCAGCCGCTGTACCTGGCGCGCCTCGGCGCCTCGCTGGCGCTGCCGTGTGCCGCCGCGCCGCAGCCACACCTCGCGCCCGTGCTGCGCTGGACCAGGGTGCGTACAAACCCCTGCGGCCGCAGCCGCTCTACCTGCCGCGCCTCGGCGCCTCGCTGGCGCTGCCGTGTGCCGCCACGCCGCAGCCACATCTCGCGCCCGTGCTGCGCTGGACCAGGGTGCGTACAAACCCCTGCGGCCGCAGCCGCTCTACCTGCCGCACCTCGGCGCCTCGCTGGCGCTGCCGTGTGCCGCCGCGCCACAGCCACACCTCGCGCCCGCGCTGCGCTGGACCAGGGTGCGTACAAACCCCTGCGGCCACAGCCGCTGTACCTGGCATGCCTCAGCGCCTCGCTGGCTCTGCCGTGTGCCGCCACGCTGTAGCCACACCTCGCGCCCGCGCTGCGCTGGACCAGGGTGCGTACAAACGCCTGCGGCCGCAGCCGCTGTACCTGGTGCGCCTCGGCGCCTCGCTGGCGCTGCCGTGTGTCGCCGCGCCGCAGCCCCATCTCGCGCCCGCGCTGCGCTGGACCAGGGTGCATACAAACCCCTGCGGCCACAGACGCTGTACCTGGCATGCCTCGGTGCCTCACTGGCGCTGCCGTGTGCCGCCGCGCCGCAGCCGCACCTCGCGCTCGCGCTGTGCTGTACCAGGGTACGTACAAACCTCTGACGCCGCAGCCGCTGTACCTGGCGCGCCTCGACGCCTCGCTGGCACTGCCGTGTGCCGCCCCGCCGCAGCATCACCTCACGCCCGCGCTGCGCTGGACCAGGGTACGTTCAAACCCTTGCGGCCGTAGCCGCTGTACCTGGCACGCCTAGGCGCCTCGCTGGCGCAGTTGCTTCTTGACCATTGTTTTTACTCCGTAAAAGATTTTCTGACATATAAAATTGAGTTGGTACAAAAGTGACACTATATGTATATTTATTTAATTAAGTATTTATTTTTAAATCGATGAGTTATGAATAACTTTGCTTTAAACAAATTACAATACAGATGGACTTATTATTTATTAAAAAAGCGCCTGTTAATACTAAAAATATCAATGTTTTACTAATTTCAAATGTATGTAATCACTATTCGAATTAATTGAAGCTTTACTATTAAGTTATATTTCACAACTCCTTTGCCTTGTAGTGGCGGTCAACTACCCCATATCTTCCCGTGGGTGTCGTAAGAGGTGACAGAGGGAGACAGGCAGGAGATGGGCAGCAGCATCTTTGTGATAACAGCAACTGAACAAAAAAACTGCGGTTGCCAACCCGCTCGTTCGCTCGCCAATAACGACGCAAACAGACAGCCCCCAGTCCCCGGCGGCCCCGCTACTCCTGGCTACGGTGGCAACCATGGTAACGGCGGGGCAGCAGGTGCTAATAACCTCCGGTGGAGGTTCGGTTGCCACCTACGACGAATCGGCCTGGTAACATATAACGCACGAATCCTGAGAACTGACGAGAAGATCCTGGACCTGAAAATTTATTTAATGTCGGCAATTACAAAACAGCACCACATAGAAAAAATATTATGTCAATGGGGTCTACAATATGCAATAAAATTCCGCACACTTATAGAAACAAACAATACGAATATGTTAATTTAAGCTGACTGCATTATTTTTATAAAAATGTTATTATTATATGAAAGACTTTTTGAATTATAAATATATATAACAAAATAAAAATACATTGTAAATGGCATAAACGAGAATTTACATTATATATGAATGACATAATAGTGTTACGAGCTTGAGGTTCGTGACAATAAAAATTGCCTTTTTTTTAATTCATTGAATTTACGTTCTATAAGTGAAACGAAACCACTGGTTTCAAGGATAACGGTGTTTACACTAACACCTGTATATATCAGATACCGCTGTAGTATTGCATAACTTCAGAGAACATCTAACTTCGAACTCGAAGAAATAATATTTTCGTGAAATATCTATGACATGATGCTTGGAATGCGAGATACTATCTTTTTTTTTGAAACGTTACATCCATACTAGAATTTTCTCCTCGTTATAATGCAATATATCTATAAATCTATGAAAAAAATCCATCAAATACTTCATATCACTGTGTAGTATACTGAATACTGACTTCCTTACAGAATTACAGAATCATTTATCACGCAGATATCCATAGATATCAGCTGATACATAGATATTGAAATATATAGATTCAGTATCTGATATTTAAATCTAATACATACATACGATTTAATATAGGGTAAGAGTGGTATTAATCATGCTTACTGCCCACTACACTTATGACGTGAATACTTCTTTAAGTTTGTAAACGTCTCTTTAGATTATAAACGAAATTTTCGTTAAAGTTATTACGTTAAAAATCGTCGCAAGTTTTAACTAACACAGCTCGTATTTTAGGAACATGGATAACTTTTTAAATTGAATATAGGATACTATATAGCCTACATGTTAGGTCCTTACATATGATTGGCGTTTTGTACGGTAGGAATATAAAGTATTTTTTTTTTTGTAAAATATATTTAATTAATCAAAGTGCGGTAATTAATAAACGGTGCATCCGTTGTTATCTATGCACTTTTGCCATCTCGTAAGTAGTTTTAGTCATTGATCCCTTTACTAAAAAACCACGGGGGCGAGAATCAATAAACTCTGAAGGCGGTTTTGACTGCCGCATCGGAGTTGAATTTTTTTCCTTGTAAGAAGTTGTCCAAATTCCGGAAAAAATGGTAATCTGTTGGAGCAAGGTCCGGGGAGTACGGTGGATGTCGCAGACATTTCAATTGTAGTTCATCTAACTTAGTGGTTGTTTGTTGTGCAGTGTGTGGTCTTGCGTTGTCGTGAAGCAGCAGTGGCCTAGAGCGATTGACCAATCTCGGTTGTTTAGCAGCTAGTTCTTCCTTCATATTTTTATTTATAATAGATATCTGCCGTAATCGTTTGGCCAGATTTTAGAAAGCTGTAGCAAGACACGGCGCTACAAAAGCATTCGGGTGGCGATAACTTTTCATCACAAGTATTTCATTTAATCTCTTCGTTTTTGTGTCGGTTGAGCAAAGTACACAGAGTCGACGCTTTTGAAGTTCATTCACTCAATTCATGAGGTACCCTCATTTTTTTATTATTCATACAGTTTTATCACTTACCCCGAAAGCTTTCTGAAGTGCTTTGTGGTAGATCCGCTTCCACAAAAGCCTTTAATTCTTCATTTTCCCTCTCCGACCGTTCACGGGGTTAGCTCTAAGGTCGAAATTTCGAGAACGAAAACGTTGAAACAAAAATGTACCGTGCTTTTCTTTGCAACACTAGCACCGTACACATCATTAATCCTTCTAGCTGTCTCTGCAGCACTGGTGCCACGGTAGAACTCGTACTTGTAAATATATCGATATTTCATGTTTTCCATTGTGCGGTATTAAGCAACGCCAAAGAAAACAAATGAGTAAAAACAAATAAATGACTGTTTTCAAAACTCAAATGTGTTACGAGCTTGAGGTTCGTGACAATAAAAATTGCTGATAGAATTACCTAAATTAACTCTTTAATTCACTTTACACTAATTAAACTTAAAACACTAATAATTAATCACACTGATTCACTTTAATCCGCTCCGAAGCTTCGCTTGTCTCGCCAAATTCAATACTTCCCCGATCGCATATTGCAGCGCCTATAAATACAAATTAGCACCGAAACATCCAGAATATTCAAGTAAACACGCGCAAGGGGCCGAGAGTTCTAGTGTCCACTTCTAGAAGCTTAGTTCTTCGTTCCGAGACTAGATGGCGCTGTCGGTTGAAAGATTAGTGATGTCATTTTCTGGAAAGCTTCCCTCGCTCTCGTCCCTAACACTAGATGGCGCTAGTGCCGGATACATTACGTCGACTTATTCGCGCAACAATAGTAATGAATTTGCTATTAGAATTGTATCTCTTAGTTTTTATGACTTTGTATGTGTTAAAGTAGAATGCAGCGGAAACACTAAGTGATGTACCATCTTATACATATACCTATATTGTGGCAAATAACGAATCTGCATCATACAGCAAGAGAGCGATACAGTGTCTGCTTAGATTGCTTGTGTGCTACTTGGGAAGTGCACTGTCTATTCCTGCACTCTCATAGTCCAACGAGACGGTAACCGGCACGACCGCAGAGAGATCAGACGCAGGATCTACGACATTACGTGCTTTCCGAAGCACGGCAGTGAAGCCCCGCTATCTTCCTGACCCCTAACTGGTATTGAGAATTTCTTGACAGAAATGTCCAATAACTGATTTTGACCAGACCCGTGATTTGAACCCAGAACATCATGATCAGCAACCACATTTACGACCAACACACCATCAAGGGAGTCGCAAATAGTATATCGATACAATATCTATATGTCGGTACAATATTCAATATCTATATATCAGGTGACAGACTAAGTATATACAGGATGTTAGTTTAAACAATGTTATTCTTGAAACCAGTGGTTTGGTTATAGAACGTAAATTCAATGACAAATAATAACATTTTTTTAGTAAAATTTAAATTTTTCCTTAATTCCTCAATTTTTGCCTGTCCTAAGCCAGGATGAAAGTATGAAAGAAAAGTTACATAACAGGTTATGTGTACCTATTGTGTTTTTATTGGAATGTTATGTAGGTAGCTAGCGTGGGTGGTGATCTTTACAGTGATTACGTCACTCGGGCGCATAGGGTATCTATGAATTTACGGACGGTGTCGGTCAGAAACGTTTTAAAGGGGACAATCATTTTTGGGCCCACTAAAAATATTAACGTCCACTAATGGTATTACATCAAAAAAAAGACACCAAATTATAATAGTAAATGGCCTACAGATTTTTCGAAAATGTAAACGGAATCAAGAAATACGAAAAAAAATTAGTTGTTTTGATATTCGTGTTCTGATTAGTGTAATATGGGTAAAATGCGTGTACCTAATTAGTCATTTTGCAGCTTGTATAAAAAGAAAACTATTTTTTCACAAAGCTGACTTAAAAAAAGATACCACTAAGAACTTTATGTTTAATTTCTAAAAATTTTAGCTAATATCACGTTATAACATAGTTCTAAATGACTGTGAACCAAAACGTTATTTTATCATTGACTTCCGGTAATTCCCAGCGGCCGGCGGCCGGGTACGGCGGGGCGGGGCGGCGGGGTATTACCTACGTCTTTAATCTTAACGGCATTGACGTTCGTTACGCTACTGTTTTTTTGTATTTATATGCGATTTTAAGAAAATGGAATCTGCTAGATCAGCATACAATGAAAACAGAAGTGTATGTTGCAATTGTGGAGTCAGGTTTCAACGCAGTGTGCGAAGACAATTACTGGCCGAGACAACTGCTGATGTGCGCCAACTTTTATCTGTGTGGATTTCTCATGAGGTAGGTATAATATTATCTCATGGAAAGCTAATCACTGCACTATACAATCTATCTACTTACATATTATCTAGATTTAAACTTTTATGAGAAATATATATTATTTTTGTTACTCTCGATTTTATTCCAACAATATTACTATACTGCGGAAACGAAAATTATATATTTTCTTTATTAATGTATTACTTAATATTTTTATTTTTGTTGAATAATATGGGATATGGTACGATTTTTTAGAAATAATACGAAAGAAAACGATCCACAGACTCCAGGCACACATAACGATCTATACATGATTAAGTACTTAATTATTTTAAGTTTTTAAAAGTAATAATAAATATCCCTTCATATTATTAATAAATTCATAGCTTCTATAGCTATAATTTTAATCTTTC